GTTCTGGGCGTTTCTGTGCTCAGATTGCCGTTCTGGGCGTTTCGGTGCTCAGATTGCCGTTCTGGGCGTTTCTGTGCTCAGATTGCCTGTCTGGGCGTTTTCGTGCTCAGAGTGCTGTTCGGGGCGTTTTCGTGCAACCATAGCCGTTCTGGGCGTTTCCGTGCTCAGATTGCCGTTCTGGGCGTTTCTGTGCTCAGATTGCCGTTCTGGGCGTTTCGGTGCTCAGATTGCCGTTCTGGGCGTTTCTGTGCTCAGATTGCCTGTCTGGGCGTTTTCGTGCTCAGATTGCGGGGCGTTTTCGTGCAACCATAGCCGTTCTGGGCGTTTCCGTGCTCAGATTGCCGTTCTGGGCGTTTCTGTGCTCAGATTGCCGTTCTGGGCGTTTCGGTGCTCAGATTGCCGTTCTGGGCGTTTCTGTGCTCAGATTGCTGTTTGGGCGTTTTCGTGCTCAGATTGTTTTGGGCGTTTCCGTGCTCAGATTGCCGTTCTGGGCGTTTCCGTGCTCAGATTGCCGTTCTGGGAGTTTCCGTGCTCAGATTGCCGTTCTGGGCGTTTCCGTGCCCAGATTGCCGTTCTGGGCGTTTTCGTGTTCAGATTGCCGTTCTGGGCGTTTCGGTGCTCAGATTGCCGTTCTGGGCGTTTTCGTGCTCATATTGCCGTTCTGAGCGTTTCCGTGCTCAGATTGCCGTTCTGGGCGTTTCGGTGCTCAGATTGCCGTTTCGGGCAGTAGTTTCGGGCCCATGTGTGCTCGTGTGGCGTTGTCCAGTCCAGATGTGCTGTGCATCACTTCTGCCTCAGGTGTGGCTGCAATTTCGGGCCCAGTCGTTCTTGCCCCAGGTGCGGCAGCGTGTGCAAGCCAGGTGTGCCGGGCCGTTGCAGCCAGCGCTGCTGCGTGTCGTCCTGCCCCTGGAGAGGCAGCGTTTTCGGGCCAGGGGCGCTCGGTCGTTGCCAGCCCCGATGTGCTGCACATGACTTCTGCCCCAGGGGTGGCAGTGCTTGGGGCCCAGGTGGGCTCCGTCGGCCCTGCGCCGGCCCGTCTGTGCCGCACGGGAGCCGGGCCCCCCCCCTAACCAACGAAAACAAAAAACAACCAACGAAAACCACCAAAACCAACGAAAACCCAAACGAAAGCAGTGTTGTGCAGTGTTGTGCGGTGTTGTGCGGTGCTGTGCGGTGTTGTGCGGTGTTGCGCGGTGCTTTGGAGTGCTGTGCGGTGCGGTGCGGTGCGGTGCTGTGCGGTGCTGTGCGGTGCTGTGCGGTGTTGTGCGGTGCTGTGCGGTGTTGTGCGGTGTTGTGCGGTGTTTTGGAGTGCGGTGCCTGTGCCGTGCCTGTGCCGTGCCTGTGTGGTGCTGTGCGGTGCCGTTGTTTTTGCCCTTCTTTGTGCTATGCCATTCGATGGCGCACGCGTGCAGCAAAGTGTTGTTTTTCCGTAGCCTTCCTGGATCAGCTCATGTTTTTTATGAAGCGTAAACTCGTTTCCGGCACAGGAAAATCATGTGGAGCAGGCCCAAGCGTGCTCGCCTCACCTCCTCTGCTCCCGCTCACACGCCTCTGCGCCTGCTTCGCGGGCAAGCGGTTCCTGGCGGGTCGGCTTGCGTTTTCGGAAGCGGAAGTATTCTCGGTGCTAGTCTGTTGGGTCAGCCGTTCTGGTCGCCCCACAGGAGACGCTCTCGGTCTCTGCGGGGAGCAGGGCCAAGCCAGGCCAAGGCACGAGCGACGGCCTGGTGCGCTGCGGCACTGCCCGCTCCCTCGCAGGCACGTGCCTGAGAGCTTGTCGGCAGGGGCCACCTTCTCAGGCTCTCTGGTGACCGAGCGCTCTCCGCGTGGGACGGCGCCCGCAGGGCGGGCAGCAGCCGCCTGGCGGCGGTTTTGAGGGTCCCTGCCTTTTCGCGGGCAAACCCAGGGTCCCTGCCTTCTCGCGGGCATACCCAGAGCCCCTGCCTTCTCGCGGGCAAACTCAGGCCACCGTGTTTCTCATTCCCTGGTTCCGCCTTCGCGGGCAAGTTCAGGGTCCCTGCCTTCTCGCGGGCAAACCCAGGGTCCCTGCCTTCTCGCGGGCACACCCAGAGCCCTTGCCTTCTCGCGGGCAAACTCAGGCCGCACTTCTCCCAGGCTGTGCCGGGTTCCGTGTGGCATGCTGCGTGCAGGTTACCTCGCTGCCTTCTCGCGGGCAAAGCCCTCTCGCGGCACCTAGAAGTCACTTTGGGGTCGCTGCATTCTCGTGGGCTTTACCTCGTGCGACGTGGAGGTTCCCTGCCTCCTCGCGAGCGGCAAACCCAGGCCTGTCGAGCGAGCTACGCTCTCTGGCCCTCTTCGCCACAGGACCGGGCGTCCCGGGGCGCAGGCTCCTTGTTGGTGTCCAGTGGGTGCGGTCCTCAGTGCATTTCTGGTGCTGCTGAGCGCCATTCTCGCACCCCGCCGCGAGGGCTACTCTATCGCTGGTCCTTGCCGCCTGTGGTGAAATGTAGAGTGCGTCGTTGCTGCCCCCGTGGGGGCCGTGCTCTCTCTCTGGCCCTCGCCGCCTGCCATTCCCAGATCTGTGCCGGCCAGTCTGAGCGCGACTGTGCACTCGGGTGGCATTCGCTTGCCAGTATTGCACTCTATGCTCCTTCCTTTCTGCGTTCTGGTGCCCAGGCGCACCCAGATTCGCAGTCTGAGCGCGACTTCGCGCTCGCGGGCGTCCGCGTGCCCAAAACTGCATTTTGTGCTCCTTCGGCGTTCTGGTGCCCAGGCGCACCCAGTTTTGCAGTCTGTGCGCGACTTCGCGCTCCTGGGCGCCCGCGCCCCCAGAATTGCATTCTGAGTTCCTTTCTGCGTTCTGGTGGCCAGGCGCACCAAGATTCGCAGTCTGAGGGCGTCCGCGCGCCCAGAATTGCATTCTGAGCCTTTCGACGGCCTGGTACCCAGGCGCACCCGGGTTCGCAATCTGAGCGTGACTTTGCGTTACGTTTTGGTGACCAGGCGCACCAATATTCGCAGTCTGAAGGCTTCTGGGCATCCGCGCGCCCAGGATTGCATGCTGGGCTCCTCTCTGCGTTCTGGCGCCCAGGCGCACCCGGGCTCGCAATCTGAGCGTGACTTAGCGCTCCTGGGTGTTAGCGCGCCCCCAAAAAATGCATCCTCAGCGCCTTTCTGGGTTTTGATTCCAGGCGCACCCACGTTCGCAATCTGAGCGCTTGTGGCGTCCGCGCGCCCAAAATTGCACTCTGTGTCCCTTCTGCGTTCTGGAGCGCAGGCGCGCCCAGATTCGCAATCTCAGCGCAGCAAAGCGCTCCTCAGCGTTCGCGCGCCCAAAATGGCATTCTGAACGCCTTTCTGCGTTCTACTGCGCTGGCGTGCCCAGATTCGCAAGCTCAGCGCACATTGGCGCTCGTGGGCGTCCGCGCATAGTTGCATTGTGAGTCCCCTTTTGCTTTCTGGTGCCCAGGCGCACCCAGATTCGCAACCTGAGTGCGACTTTGCGCTCCTGGGCGTTCGCGCGCCCAGAATATCGCATTCTTAGTTCCTTTCTGCATTCCGGTGCCCAGGCGCGCCAAAATGCAGTGACCTGGCCGTCGCGATCGAGCCAGAAGCAAGGGCTACGGACACACTGGGGCACTCGGGGTCGGATGTGTGCAGGCGGCAGAAGCTAGTCCTTGATGGGGGAGCATTTGCTAATCCCCCACCTGCACACAACGGAGGCGGGGGTGCTTTGCATTTGTGCAGCACGCCCGTCCTCGACCGACCCCGGGGGGCCTGCGCCCCAAACGGCGCGTAATGGGAATATCCATGCTGACGCCCTTTCACCAGCAAGCTCAGAATTAAATTCTGGTGTGGCTGCTGAAAATACGGCGGCTGAGATTGCAACTGGACGGATTTCCCATGGGAACTCGGCCCATCGGATTTCGGAAGATTTTCGGCCCCAAAATGGTTGCCAAAGAAGCGTGGGTCGGAAGCGCCCCAGCAAGCAGTTCCTTGGCCGCGTTTCCTGTTGCCTTAGCTCCGAGGCGAAGCTGACATTCGCGTCGTTGCAACAGCGCGCAGTCGAGCTGCGCACGCCCTCTAGCGCGTCGCCTTGACGGCGTTGCGCGCCAAGACGGCGCGCCTCACATAAAGCATGGGGTCACCCAGACCACCCACCAGGAAAGAAACCGTTTGGAGACGGATTCGCCTGCTCCGCGGCGACGGACAGCATTCTTTAGCGGAGGACGAGCGTAAGCCCCTTCGCGCCGCGTCCAGGCGGACAAGCTCGCCCCAAAGATGGGCGCTCACTCATCCATCTCATCATTCAAATCTGCTCTGTATCCTCTGGCGGCGGCGGCGACAAAGTTGAATCGCGTCGGCGGCGCGGTGGCGTCAGGGGAATCCTTTCTCTGACGGCAGCCCAGCACCGTCAAGCTGCAGGGAGCCAGCGCGGCAAGGCAGGTTCTCCACCTGGGCAGCATCGCACGCAACGCTCGGCAGGCGCGCTTATGACGCCCTCCGAGGCCTGGGTGCACTCAGGCTGCGGAGGGGGATAAGCATCGCAATCAGCGCTGGCTACGTTTTGCCCCGCAGTGCAGACCGCGCCTGAGCAGGTTGTCGTCTCTTGTCTCGTGCGTTGTGCCGCACTAGCTCAGACGAGCACGCCTCAGGCAATCTGCCCTCTCACACCTCAGACCTTGCCCAGCCTCTCACAGGTTGCCGTCGCGTGTTTTGCTGGCGGCAGCAGGCGGCGTCAGAACTGATTTTGCGAAGGGCAATCTTGGTTGAAGGCATCTTTGGAGGAGCTGCCTGCCTGCGTGTTTGAGGAATCGGAAATACGGTTGCTCTCACCATGCCTGAGGCCACTCTCCTCTTTGTCTCGTCGGAAGAAAGGCCAGGTATCCACCTGCGGCGGGAGATCCTTCAGCTGTCCACTGTAACCGTGATGGCTCAGACAAGGTGTCTGAATTGCAGATTTGTGTCCTAGCACGCAGAGCAATCTGATTCTACGCGTCGTCCGAGGGAAGATGTCTTTCTCTCCGAGTGACGTCACGGCGATGATCGCTACCGCCGCCAGTGGAGCCTTCAACGGCGCAGGTGCAGATCAGGTGCGTGAGTGGGTGGACTTCGTCATCAATGTCGACGTCGACCCCGCCAAGAAGCACGATCTCTTCCACTGCGTGTCTGTCGCGCGGCTACTGGCCGAGACGGGAGGCAGCATCGCGCCAGCCGACTTCGAAGACCCTCACATGCGGGACATGATCAAGGCGAGCATTCCCGTTCACGCCACCCCCGTATGCCACCGAACAGGGCGACCCGTGGAAGAGCTGGAAAGTCTCGCCGGCACAGATTGTCTTGGCGCTCAAGGTGCAGGGGGCGTGCGCGAAGAAAGCCTCGCCAGGACCATCGGTGCCACCAGAGGTGGCCCACAACAACAAAGAGCTTTCGGGCATGGCTGAAGCAGTGAAGCAATTTGCGGAACTTCAGTCGCAGGCGCTGCAGAAAGGGAAGCCGAAAGGACTCAGTTTCAAGTTGCAGGACCGGAAACTCGAGCTGGGCATGCAGCATTTCGCCAAAGATGCACTCCCGTCAGAGGAGGTCCTCGCGAAGTTCGAGGCGGCGGGGAAGATCGCGCACGACAAAGGCAGGCCGTGGGTCGGGTCCGCTGAGGGCGAGGACCTGCGCGATCACCACCGCCCAACTTGGAGCCGGACTCCTATGATCGACGCTGTCGTGGGGGACGGCTCTTACGAGGAGCGGGTGAAGCAGAGCGCTGCCGCCAAGCGGAACATGGCGTGGATGGACAAAGTCGACTACGCTGGCTTTGCCACGTTCATGGGCCACCTGCACGAGTGGGGATTCAAGGTAATCCTCACCAAGGCATGCAGCATGGCTGACTTCCTTGCGTACGCCCACAACATCGTGCGAATCGCCGAGGAACACGGTGGAGTCAGGACAGCTTATCAATACGATGTTCTCCAGAGGAGGGCCATGGCCAGGGCTCTGGAGGAAGACGTCGTAGATTTGGCGCCTTACTTCGCCAAGATCGATCGTGAAAACCTAGCTGACGCCAAAGACAAAGTAAACAAAAGCTTCACGGAGGCTGGCCGGGCTGTGACAGCTAAGGGGCAGCAGTCGAAGGGTCAGCCCAAAGGCTGCGCCAAGGGCGTCGCCGACAAGGGCGGCAAGGGGAGCAAGAAGAGCTCCGACGGCACAGAGGCTGACAACCGGCCTGTCCGGTCGCCGGCCAAGCGCCCCAAGGGCACGGCGGGCACCGATTATCAGCACAGGTCTCGCAGCCCCCGCTCCGGCAATCAGCAGTACAACAGTTGGGGAAACAAGTGGTGAGTGGGCCAAGCACCACTAGTCGAGGGCGCCGGGAGTGATATCTCGGAGGAAGCATCAGACGACACGGAGGCGTCGCCGCTTCCAGGTACCAGTTCAAGGTCAAGTGAGTCAGCAAATTCTCCACTCGAAGCTGTCCAGGCAGCTTTCTTTGCATTTAGCGCCCGCGAGGATTTGCATAGCCTGGGTCCGAGCGACCACTTGCGCTGGGCCAGCGGCTTGCCAGAAGCCGACGATAGCCCGCGCGTGCCAACGTTTTTAAACGGCCATTTTGCGAGATCGGTTTCAATGTCGGTTGCCGAGCTGCAAACCGCTCGCCAGTCTGCTCTTGCCTTTTGGAAGCATCGGAAGCTAGTGACGGATCCACAGTGGCAGACTATCTTTAGAAGTTTGCCAGCTCACTGTCAGTCAGTGCTGGGTCCGGAGAATAACCTTCTGCTGCTGAAAGAGATGCTCGAGGCTATAGCATGGCCAGATAATACCTTGTTTCACAACCTCTGCCATGGCTTCCCTTTGGTGGGGCGCCTGCCTGCTAGTGGCATCCATGCGCCCGCTGCCACGTCTCTGGAACCAGCCGAGACTTTGCGGTCGCTTTTAGCACATCCGCGCGAGCGGAATGAGGCGACTCTCGGTAGAATCGCCGCGGAAAAGGGCGGCGATACGAGGGTTAGGACTCAATTTTTATCGGCCTGCTCAAAAGAAGTCGAAGATGGCAAGGCCCGCTTCCGTAACCTAGATGTAAATTCTTGTGTTTTAACAGCTCGCTTCCCTATCGTGCAGGGGGAGAGAGACGGAATGCCAAAAATTCGCTGCATAGACGACTTCACTGCGTCTGCGGTGAATGGCGCGGTTGTACATAGTGAAAGAACATGTCCAGACACGCTGGACACTTTGGTGGCATTAGTGCGCCACACAGCAGCAGGCAAGCAACACATTGCCATGAGGTGGAGGAAAGATGACTTCCGGCATGCTTTTAAGACACTGCCGATTTGCAGCGGCCACTTGCCGCTAGCAGTGACAGCTTGGCCAGAAGCAGTGGCAGACGGTAAGGTGTTACAGTTGCTGTGCCTACCATTTGGCTCTTCCGCCTCAGTGTCCGGTTGGGATCGTTTCGGTCTCGCCATTCAAAGCATTTTGGCAGCTCTGTTTCACTTGTTATATTTGCGTTTTGTCGACGATATGTTCGCCGGCGATTCGGCCCTGGAGGGGCGCGATATTGGCAGTGACTGCTTAATCGGCCCCGCCGGCTCTGCGCGCCTGGCAAGAGCAGTCGTGTCAGAACTGCTGGGCTGGGATCTCGACGCCGGCAAAGCCGTCACGGAGGCCACTAAGACCGTAGTCCTCGGAGTCTGCGTAGAATTTGACGACCACAACCAGCTGATCCAGTTTTCTCTCGAAGCAGAGAGGTTGGAAAATCTATTTGCCCGCCTTCTGGTGGAGTGGGCGCGCCTGCAGTGGGCCAGGAATCTGGACGCTGCCGGCGCGACAGGCGAGTGAGAGCCCCGAGAGAAGCGCCCCGCCACGCGCCGGCCCCACACTCCCCAGAAGCCACACCAAGCCATAAGGGCGGGCGGGCGGGCAACGACGAAGGCGATGACAAACAACACCACGGGCGCTGCGAACAGCACCTGGCCCACTATGTGGACCACTGGGGGCTTGCAAAGACCCCCCGGTGGAGCGAGTGCACCCCGCAGGTCGCTTGCTCCGCGGCGGCCGTGGTGCCGGGAACTTGCTATCCCGCCCCCGAGCCGGGCGGTGCCCCGATCGGCCTCCGGAGTTGTCGAAGACCACCGCTGCTCCGAGTTGGAGCCAACCAGGCCTTGGAAGAAATCCGCTGCTCCGTCGGGAGCCCAAGCCGTGACTGCCCACGAGTTTACGTACACGGTTAAAGCCATCAACTGATGAATCCACCAACCGGTTTACATCAGGCGGGGCTTTAGATTTTCCTCCCCATCGAAACCTTTGGTTTAGGGGGTATGAAAATCTATTTGCCCGCCTTCTGGTGGAGTGGGCGCGCCTGCAGTGGGCCAGGAATCTGGACGCTGCCGGCGCGACAGGCGAGTGAGAGCCCCGAGAGAAGCGCCCCAATGGTGAGGGCTCGACTCGCCCTGTCCATAACACTCCCAATGTAGGCGACTCGGGCCCGGATCCCCGCGTGAGTTCTGGAGCATCGCTCCGTTTTTAAATCCCGGACCTCCTGGACTTGGGACAAGCAGGGCTCGCTCGGAATAGCGCCAGCCAGATAGCATATTGCTGTCGTTTTTCTCAACTCTCTACGCCTGATCCATCGTCTGACGAATCGGAAAACTCTGCTGCCCACTTAGCAGCCAGAACTTCCCCCTTCGTCTGCGCCGCGGCGTAGCCGAACGCAGCTAAGCCACGCCAGCCGCCTGAATAAAACAAGGCTGGCACTCCCCCATGGCGCAGGGCGTCATTGGCCCAACCGCGGCGGAAGCAGTGGGTGCCCCATTCTGCTCCTCTCGGGAAACCAAGTGCTAGAGCTGCAGTTTTCAATGCTGCTAAAGCCCTGTCGTACTGGAGGATTGGAAATACTGCTCCCTGGCCGCAACGTCGACGCAAGACGCAGACCCCGCACAAGTCTGGCGATGCGGACTTGCAAATGCACTGCCGCACCACATGCACAGATTTGTCTTGCATTTTCCTTCTGTGCAAAACGACGGTAACCTCAGACACATTGTCACGGACGTGGCACCGCACTTCAGAGTGCGACGGGTCGGCACCTAGTTTAAGTACTTCACAGCCATACCTCAATGTGAAATGTCTGGCCACGACCCAACTGTCTGCGAGCTCCGCGTCTTGCAACACGTCCCGGGCGTAGCCCGCGAGTTCGCGGGTCTGCCTCGCAGACGCAGTGGCCTTGAGACGCGGCGCAGAAGTGCAGCTCTTCTGGGCGCCTTTGACTAGCATACTCGTGTCAGCCAGCGACCCCAAAGGCGCCTGTATAAGCCTGAGCGTAGACCGCAAATGAGAACAGTACCGGGACAGCGTGGACGCCCGTGGGACTGCAAATGCAAGCGCTGCGAGCACCACCTGATCAGGCGGCCACTCTGGTACGCCAGTTGCCGCCGCCAGCCTGCCCCACAATCGCACAGCTGATGCGTAGCCTTGTCCACTCTGTCGCCAGTTTTCAATTTCCTGGAGCAGCAAGCGGCCGCGGAGCACATCATCGCGACGCTCCGCCGGAATTTGCGCCAGCCACCGCGCTCTCGCCGATGGCAGAGATGAGGCCGCGGCGCCGTCATGCAGTCCGGGAGCTGGCGCTCTGCAAATGACAGAAATTGATTGCGCCAGGACATCAGCGGGAGGCGCACATCTCTGAGCTCTGGCTTGCACCAAAACTTCCACTGCTGCAGAAAGCTCGTCGGCCGCCGCCCTGGCAGCCGGCCTCCCGGGAGGCAGTTCTTGCTCACAAAAACATTCTGGCTTGTGTCTTTTCAACTTAGGCACGACGGCGCTTGAGCCGCGCGCGCCCGTCTGCCACGACACGGAACGCAGGAAGTCATCGGACAGCGTTTTGAGAGGTGGCCACACTTCTCGCAACTCTGCTGCTGAAAGGCCTTGGAGGTCGCCGCCATGAACAGCGCCAGAATCGGCCAGCGCCTGCAAGACTGCGCCAGGCGATGCCGGATGGCACGAAGCTGGCGTCCGGGCCAGCACACTCTGGAACCATGCCTTCAGCTCTGTTGGCACAGGAGTCTGCTGCGGCACCTGCGCGCCCCGGGCGGCCTCCAGATGGCGCCGCCGGGAAGCATCGATAAACTGGAAGGCCATCAAGAAACGCTTGTGCCCAACCGGCTACGGAATGAGGGGGCAGGCTGCGACAGGCAGGTGGCCACGAAGCCAGAAGAGAAGGCCACGACGGTCAACTGTTGCGTGCAACTTTTTCCCCTCCTGCGCTCGCGTCTGTCCTCACCAGAGCTCGCCCCAAACGCTTGCTTCCGGCCAGCGCCAGTGCACCTCCTCGAACCCTTGCTCGAGCAGAGTGCGCAGTTTGTCTGGCTCTTCATGGGCTCTGGACGGGGCGTCTGCAAGGTTCTGAGCAGACGGCGCACGGAAGGGGCACAAGACGTCGCCCCTGTCTGCTGCCGCGAACCAAATGGACGTCACTAAAGCATTCCAATCGATCTGCCTGGACGTCCCTTTGAGCAATGCTCCGAGCGCTGGGTTGGAATCCACGAATAACAAAATCTCCAGCCCTGGCTCCAGAAAGGTGTACGCGTGCCAAAGGCCACACACCGCAGCAATGAGCTCCCACGTGCCGATTTGCTGCCGGCGCGGCTTCACTCTGTCGCGAAGCCATCGCGGCACCCACGCTCGGGCGAACTGCTTTTGGTTGCCCTGCGCGAGAACCCACGCGAGTGCTCCGCACCCCGCTGCGTCGGTATAAATGACCAACCGGGGCCGCGCAGCTGGCAGGTAGGGTATCTCGCGGCGAGGGTTGGATTGCAAAAAGCGAAGCCACCAGTGGAAAGCCCGGCGCAGGCGCAGAGAGAGTTTGGAGAGACGACGGGCCGAGTGGAAGAACAGAGCTGCAAGATACACTCTTGCGCTTCTGCCAAACACCATCGTTGCTCCCCAACTCAGTTTCCCTGCTAGCTTCCGGGCCAGCGCCGGCGACAGCATGCCCAATTCGAGAATCTTATCGATCTCAGCAATCCACTTCACGCGCTTTGCCTCGGGAATGCTAAAGACGAAAAGCTCCCGGGCATCATCCAGGGCAACCTGGATGCCGAGAATTACGGCTACAGAAGCGTCGGTGACAGCTTTCGCGTCGTCCAGCTGCCAACCCAACAATTCTTGCACGACTTCGCGCGCAAGAAATGCAGCACCACTCGGTCCTGTGAGGGCAGTATCTCCCGGCGTCGCGCGGTCGACGCCGAAGAAGTCATCGACAAAACGCGGGTATACAATGCGGAACAGCTCTACAAGCACGTGTTGGAGCGCAGCACCGACGCGGTGCCATGCATGCACGCTTGCAACAG